CATCGCCACGGGAGAACATAAGGGTCAGTTCGTGCTCATACCAAGAATTGACAATTATACAGAAAGGCGTTCCTTCACAAGTGCGACGACGCCAGTTTCCCATACGGCTGGCTTTCGCCATGACTATCAACAAAGCCCAAGGGCAAAGTCTCACAAATGTGGGCATCCATCTCGGAACTGATGTATTTTCCCATGGTCAGCTCTACGTTGCCCTGTCGCGCGCGAACGAAAAATGGTTTGAAAGTGCTCAAAAACGGTGCCCTGGTCAAAAACGTTGTAATGAAAGCTGTGCTGTAGCTTATTTTAGCAACATATAGGGTTGTATGCTTATTTGCCTTCATCCTTCTCTTACATTCTCTCACTTTATGTATATCCATCACAAGTTTTCCGTCTACCTTTGCGCTCTCATTTCCTGTGAAGTGTACAGATGTTCCATTCAATACACCTTTATTGCCGTTGAATATCAACTTTAACTTAGTCAAACATCGATTGTTTTGTTATGAAGCTTTTTACTATCTTTCATTAGCGCAAGTACCACAAAAGAGGTTTCGTATTCACTTCTATTTACGACGAAAAAGCGTATGCGTAGTTGCTATGATCATGCAATTTTAGATACTGACTAGTTGGCAACCCGGATCCGCCCGGACCTGTCAATAATATATTTGTAATCAGCATGCTCGATTACCCCCGTGTGCCAACTCCCAGCCCTGTAGCTCAAATTTTGCAAAAAATCGATAAAATCGATATCGATCGATACGAAAAGTAGCCTATGACACGCTCCCTGCCCCGAAGTGTATGTGTGCCAAGTTTGGTCCGAATCGGTTCAGAAATAAAAATTTCTATTCCGCACATACGTACAGACAGACAGAAGACAGACAGACATACACACATTCAGCTTTATATTAGGTTGTTCCGAAAGTAATGTCGCTTTTTTTTAAACGAACGCCACATCTCGTGGAACAATGATGAGTAAAAGGTTTTGGTAGCGTTTGATGCAGCATTTCATTCTCTTTCTGACGGTTATATAATCACTGCACAGAATGCAATAGCCTCTCGCATAATTATGAAAATCTGCCAACTATGCTTTTTGAAAAGGCCAAGTTTCAAAATTTTTTTAAATTTTCATAACAATTCTCGGAAGGAGTCCAGGTAATGGATGGATAAAGCAAAGCCTACTGGAAACAGCACAACTTTTTTCTACTTTCCAGAGCTCGTCATAATTTTGTATAGATTTTTTTGATGGAACCACTGAATTTTGGCAGGCTCGTCTCAGACACAAATGCCTCAAACACCAATAAATCTTCGGATTTTAAAACTTATAAAGATGGATTATGGTTTGAGACTAATTTTACAACCAAATGAGCATTCACCGCTTCAGATTAGCAACTTTCGAAAATTCGGGGTACGGCCTGGGGCGCCTTGGAAAACCTGAATTATGATAATTTTATCCCAGAAAACTTGATGAATTGGAAACAAAAAACAACTGTTAGAAAGAGGAGAAAAAGCTGCGTCGAATGATACCCGAGTTGCTTGCCAGTTGTTGTTCTGTGAGGTTTGAGTTGACCAAATATGGAATTTGATATCATTGAAAAATTGATTCCACTCATACCTTCGATAATCTAGAGACAGGGCGCCAAAAGTGAAGGTTGTTTTAACATCTGACGTCATAAATAGTGAAGGTTGTTTAAAGAAGATCAGAAAAGAGAAAATGACGTAAAACAGACATAAAAAGTAAAAAAAACCATGTAGACCGGATAAAAACGCCGCAATGAAGTTTGAAATTTTTCATTTGGCGGCTTTCCAGAGTGCAAGTTTTCGCTCCAGGACCAGCAATTTGCAACACGGGGTTTTGATTTTTGGTGCGTCCTTTGAAATTTGACCCCCGCATCGACGTTCCTGTTTCCTGGGACGTTGTCTGGATTGTTGCGCTTAATGTTCTGAGCAACAATCGCGAAAAAAAATCGCTGCGAAAGCACTGAAACAGGACAAGGTAAAGAAAAACGCACTTTTTACGATTTTTCGCAAAAATTTCACCATAATCGAAGAGGTAAGGGCTGGGTGGTTGTCAGCATTATGAACAGAAGCAAGATCTATAGAATGCATGAAAAAACCGCGTGAAAAGAGTTAAACTTGGGGAAAAACAAGAGATCTTCGAAAACAAGGTTTTTGCCGGATTTCTCGATCAAATCAAAAAATATGGTTCTGGGACGTTGTCAGCATAAAAATAGAGATCAAGAGCTTCAAAATGATACATAGCTTGCAAAATTGGGTTCGAAACAGCGAAGAAAAGGGTACCAGAGCCAAATGCCCCGCACCCCGCGTTTGGGGTAGCGAGGCAGCGCAGCACGCGGAGACGCAGACGAGCAGCGGAGACAGACCAGAGCCGACGGGGCATTTGGCTCTGGTGTAGAGCTCAGCGGGGTCTCAACGAAATCCTGCAACATTATATATCATTCTGATCGTCATGACACGACGAGGAGAACTGACAACGTCCCAAGCTTTGAAAATCACTCATTAACGAGATAGACAGCGTAATCGTGCGCGATTCTCTGCGCAAGAATTAAGCGCAGTTTCTCGTTTTTATTTAACTCCAATAGCGTTCCTAAACTTCTGAAACTCTATTTTGGCCAAATGAGAGGTTAACTGAGAAATTTTGTCCTGAATTCTGGCGAAAATTCCACAGAGACCTTCTTTTTAACGTAAAAAAGGCTATGAAAACGCAAATTCTCGGTTTCGCTGCAACAAGCTAGAGATATTATTCCCTATATTTGCTTCATTAACGTACGTTCCGACATGGTCAGGATAATAGCATCCAGGGCGAAGCCCCGGATGCTTCTGTTTTCTCCAGGTGAAGGTTGTGTCCCCTTATAGCCCTTAAAGAGAAGGTTACCAGAGTACGTGGCTCTATGTATCGACGGTATGATTCCACTAACTCTAAGAAGCAAGCTAAGGAAAAGAAAAAATTGCTTTGCGTCCTATGAGATTTGCTCTATCTACCAGTTGCTTGAACTTCTTCGGAGAATAGGTACAAAAATTTAGAAAAGTAGCCGAACTTGACCATGGCAAAAAGCGTGAGTCGCAGATTTTGGTAATTTTTCGAGAGCTCATTAGATATTATGCAATGTGTTTGTAAGCATAAGAAAGAGGATAAAATGTTGCATCGAATGCTTCTAAGATCTCTTGAAAATCTTGATTCCATGAAATGTGGCGTTCATTTGAAAAAAGCGACATTACTTTCGGAACGACCTAATATATAAGACTAGCGACCCTACGGGTCGCTAGCAAGCGGGTAGGGCACACCCACAAATAAAGGTGTTTCATACCTATGATTTTCTCAAGTGAATTTTCAAGCGGCACGTAGGGCAATTCGATCGGGCAGGGAAACTAATTTTTGTGCGTTTGGGGCAGTTCTCAGAATAAAAGTCCTAAAGTGACATGCACGGCAATTTACAAATACGCTGTAAATACTTAAATTCGTTGTTATCTTTTTGTTTGAGCCGTAGTTGGTTTTTCTTACAAGGGAAGGAAGGTTGGTCGAAGTGGCCTTTTGAAATGAGGTGTATACTGACTTGTAGAGCTTGGAACGCTGATTCCAAATCTACCTTTGCTATCTGCTGCGGGCTTTTGGGGGAGGATTACGAAGGTTTTCGTGAGTAAAAATCTGAATACAAAAATAGGGTAAAATCAGTCGTTACCTTTCCCCAATGTTAAATGAGGCAGCAGCGAATTGATATATTTGAATCAAGAATATTTTTTGCACCGAGTGACCCGACCACCAATTAAGCCCTTTGAAAAATGTTACGACTGATTTTAGCCTACTCTTGCATTCAGATTTTTACTCACAAAAACCTTCATAACTCCTCGCCCAGAAGCCCGCAGCAGATAGCAGAGGTAGATTTGGAATCTTGGAATTTTCACTTTGGAAGGTTATAACTTCGTCCAATTTTCATATTTTCGAATGCAGTTAAGATCATTAGAAACAGCAATCCTATCGTAACTTAACGCGCACCTGCCCGCACTGATATTGCAAACGGGAAGAATCATGATAAGATGAGATCAACTCCGGTCCGCGTCGAGAGAGATGCCCTGATGGGGGGGGGGGTTTACTACGGGCTTTTGTTTCGACCTAGTCACTCTCGCACTCACGCTTACAATCTGGAGAGAAAAATCGAATTCACCCAGAGCAAAAGCTCCCAAAAGCGAGATTTTCGAAGATTTTCTCAAAATTTGCCGGAAAATTGGATCATAGTGCTAAAATTTTGTTTTGACCCAGTCATCGCTGTACAGCTTCCTTTCACAATGTCACTCTCGCACTCACGCTTACATTCTGGAGAGAAAAATCGAATTCACCCAAAGCAAAAGCACCCAAAAGCGAGATTTTCGAAGGTCTTCTCAAAATTTGGTGGAAAAGTGGAAGCAAAGTGAATACTGAGATCGGATGTGAGCGGATCAAATGGTATGCTTCTATAACTATGCAACAATGACCAGCTCGCAATTTCAACACCCTTGGCACGCGCTTGCGTCTTTCCACACAACGATTGCAGCAGCAGAGCGTACCCTGCGTGTCGTGCCCTCTCGTTCGCGCTAGGACCTCCTCGTCCTCATGACCTCATGATCGCACCGTCGCGTCTCTACACAATAAGGCCCCGTTCGGCAACTGGCGTCAATTCAAAACACCCGTTGAAGCATACATGTGGGCGGACTATCCTCGCCGTCTCGTTTTTTGGGATCGGGTTTATATTATAGGAGAAGATTCCGCACATACGTACAGACAGACAGACAGACAGACATACACACATTCAGCTTTATATATAAGATTTACATCGAGATCTGTATTGTACTATGACAAAATCTCTTAAAAAGCAGTTTAGGAAAAATTTACAAATCAAAATCTCATACTTTTTGACTTGAAAGGAATTTTGTTTCAAAAATTTCACACTCATCCCACTTCACACACGGCCAGACTTTGGTCTGGTTACAGTATAATCACTTATTTACAGACAGCTTGTTGCGCCTCAGTTTAATTCTTGATGGATGAGGTAAGTTCTATAATTCAATTACTTAAGGTTCAAAAATCACTTCAATTTTAGGTAACAATACCAAATGGGAAACAACTTCGTTTTCGTTGTAAGTACAAAAACTGCACTACAAGTAAAACTTTTTCCATAATTTCCATAATGGATCACTTGGCTTTGCATTTTTCGCAACAGAGAAGGTGAGATATGGCTTCGTTGCATCCACCCCGCTCCCTACATCTCTGCAAGACTTTCAGATCAACGGAAATTTTCAATTTTTACTGCAAAGAGTGCAGAGTTCATTTTTTGCTATGCGGCATGTGCAAAGGTTGCAAGTGCAAAGCGAAAGGGGGAGGAAAGGTTGTATGCCTTGTCATCCATATTGGTTAATCATTCACTACTCATTTCAGCAATTCATTCTATTGAAAAATAAAGTCACGCTTGAAGATATCAAGCGTGAGGTGAACTTTTTCGAATTTTTACAAAAGTGGATTGCGCCTGTGCTGACCAACAAACCTGGACCGAAGTCTGCTGCATTCGGCCTAACACCGACCACTCCACAGCCGGCAGATACGAATGGAAACGATGCCAGTGAACAAGGGCCACTTCCGAGAGGTACTAGTTTTCGAGGCCTTTCATCCTGTAAAACTTGTTCAAACCTATTAGAATTTTACCGCAAAATTTTATTCTAACCTAAAACAACGTATTAGGGTACGGGGGTGCCTGATTGAGCTCGTTCCTCTACCCGATAAACGGTAAAAAATGGGAGACATGAAGAATAAATGTAGATTTTTCAAGGAAAAAAGTGATTGAACTTTCCAATTTTGATGAAGGTAGAATAAATTGTTCTCTTTCAGACAACACCTATACAATATCATTAACATATCTAATAATTTTTATACTTGCTGAAATGCAAGGTTAATCATTTTGACAAAATATAAATCTCGAGCAGTATCCGCGCAGTGAAACATGTGAGACTCCAAAGTACCACTGCTCAGTGAGTGAAGGTACAGTCACCGAACCCACGAGGCTTGCTGGCCACAACGGTCAAAGTTAGGATATAAGGTCATAGCATTTCCTGGAACAAATGTGCGTGTTATTTATCATCTACATGACTGGGAAATGCGTGACCGCGTTGCGGACATTGTCTTAACATGTTTGAGTTTGTTCTTCTCTGTTTCCAAAAAGTGAATGAACCTGGGCAAGATAAATGACAAGTATAAACTTGCTGAATACACGATTAAGCTTGTTTAGACAATGTGTGCAATGCGGTCTCGCGTATCCTAGTCATAGAATGAATTATACTTCTTTGCAAGTGAACGCATATTATCTGGCTACCATCTGATAGAACTCTTTACGCTCTATCCATCGATATGCAGTTTACCTCGAATTTCATCTATCCTCGGAAGATATAAGTTGAAACGTGATTCTTCGGTTTTTATTGCTCAAAAAAATCGCGATTTTTCAAGTATTTTGCTTTTTTATCCGGAAATAAAAAGGAAATAATCATAAATGTCCAATATATTGAGTATATTCAAAGAGCATGAAGAGCCCTTTTGATTATCATGTCACTTGCTATATGGCTTTGGTATAGCAGCGCAAGATTGAGAGATGTTCAAAAAACCCTGTTCGAGTTTTTCGGCGCCACGTGCAGGGTTGTTGGAGAAGAGTGTTAACGCGCTACCAGAATAATAGGCGAAGTTCGCTTATGCAAGCGACGTTTGAGTTACCTGATTGTTGTTGACTGAAACAAAAAACTCCGAAATGTAAAAAATGGTACGTCTCCGTTGTCCGGATCCATTTCTCCAAAGAAAGATATTGATTCCATCCTTGTACCATATTTGCCCCTAGCTTCACAGGAAGCAGTGTCAATTTTCTGCCACCTGTCAAAAAAATTTTTGACATGTCATCTACATGTTCAACAGGTTTTCCTAAGAGTTTGTGTTATCCTAGCTAGCGATATAAGTTCAATAACTTTTTTAGTCAATTCTGACCTCATTTCAATCAAACAGTTTTAATGTGAACAATAACGACATACTATCATCGATGAACAGATTAGACTTGCTTAGGATAGAGAAGTACGCTAAGGTTCTGTCATTTAAGAGGCGAAATAAGCAGCACAAGGTACTTTAAGCTATCATTTATAGTCTTTTCGGCTAAATTCGCATGACGAAAAGGGTTTCATGAAAAAAACATTTCTGAATCACTGCTAAAAGCAAGCGAGATGTTCTAAAATAAGTCAATGAATGTTTTGCGCTCATGTAAAACAGTTAAACGGCTTCAAAATAATCACAAATTCTCTTTTATTTCATCGGAGATATTTTTGAAAAAAAACATTCAAAATGGCCAAAACAGGTCAATTTTTTCATGACAGTGGCAGGAAGGCAGTCCTCGTAGAATCTGTGAAAAATTAATCTTAGATAAAGAACGTACAATATGAGAGCCCTTTGAAAAGATGGGTCCGGATAACGGAAAAGTACCAGAAAATTTTTAGCTGTCCCATTTGCCGTTCACCCTAATAAAATTTCGCTAATGAGGTTGAAGCAAAAGTTCGGTCGCTTTGATGTTAAAAAATTCGTGGTTGCTCCCTATGTGAACACATTTGCTCTTAAGAGAAATTTCATTGAAAAGAAATATCATCTAACGAGGGACTTCAAAGATAAAGATTCTAAGGGAACCACTCTAACTCTTAAATTCCAGAAACAATTTGTCAAAAATCTGAAACTCTGCAGAAAATTTAGAAGCATGTGTCTTACATTCTACGTAAACTGCTCTTTCTAATAGTGCCAAGTTTGTCTGATCAGATTTTTTTTATGAAAAGTCATCATGATTTTCCAAAAAAAAACGGCAGTAACTTTTCATGCGTTCGATCTCTAGATTAGAATAATTCTCCTACTCAATATTTTTATCTCTGGAGTCCCTTGCCGTAAGTAGACAAATTTTTCTTTTCAAGAAAATTTTTTGTAAGCAAATACGTTCATTCAGGGAGCAATTACGACATTTGCGAAATCAAAGCAACAGAACTTAACAACAGAATAGAAAACCCAACAGAAAAAATACAGCAAAGGTACGATTGTCTGATATGGAGTGTATATGCATGAGTAAGTTAGAAACCCTTATGAGTTCTTTTCACAAGGATACACAAATTTTCATTTTTCTGAGCATACAAAACTTTTTAGATTTTGAATATTTTTCAAGAAGTAAGATGTGCATGACTAAGGGGAGTAAAAATTCAAAATGAAAAGACTTGCGGACCAACCTAATCAAAGAACTTCAACTCTATGTACTTACGCTTTTAGAGAGCAGATCACGATCGAGAACGCTCCGTCCTACCATTAATTCAAGAACTGCAACATGCGGGAGACCAGTTCCACCTCCTCTACCACAGAGACGTGTAAGAGATAGACTTTTCTCCTTGCACTGGCATGATTTGTTGGCCTCAAGAACCTGTTAATTAAGAACTATAACTGTCAATCCAGCTTTAACTTCAAAGTGGAGCTTTTTCCGTGATAGAGTAAGGGACCAAAACCTCTGAATGAAAGTCTACATAGAGAAAGTATGTGCTGGATTGATCATAGATATGCCAGGATTACAAGGGGGCCGCCATGAGATTACCACCACTAGCATGCGAGTCAGCAAGCTATGGAGCTTATCAAATGAAGTGTCGTTTGCACCAGCACCTCCATTCTCGCGCTGGACTCTGCGTCTCTTTCGCGGAACATGCTCTCCGAGTACTTTCCCAGGGCGAGCGTGGAAAAGGCGGAGCCTCAACCGATTGGAAGATTGGGGAGCATGTTCTACGCAAAAGACGCGGAATCCAGCGCGAGAATGGAGATGCTGGTGCAAAGAACACTACATTTGATAAGCCCTGTAGATAACTCCTCATCTATGCGAACTTTCATAGATTGTGACTTTTGACCAGACATCACACATCTAGCATAATTTAGAGGACATTCAGATTGAGTTTGAAGTGTTGATGTTATGGGAGGACGAGCGTTATACTACAAAGCACTCGCCGCCAAAGCTCGTCGTCAGAGCTTTGGCGGCGAGTGCTTTGTAGTATAACGCCATACCGCCATGTTGTGTAGTAGCCTCTAACTAAGCAGTTGCCCAAGTTTCACTGGTTAATATGAATTCCAAAGCAGAAAATCGGTCCATAATGTAGAAGCGGTCATGCTGTCTTTGCCCAGCAACATAGGTGGTCTAAGGATATAAGTCTATTGACCAGGGCAGACAGAAAGGTCGTAAATTTGATTACCATAATGATAGGCGGATTTATGGTGATTCTGGGTACAGTAAGGGGCGAATGCTTAGAGGGAATCATGTTTAGTTGAAATGGCCTTTCCAAATAGGATGTATACCATATTGGAGGACATAAACGCTGATTCCAATCTGCTTCCCTTATTTGCGGAACGTTTCTGAATGAGGAATTATGAGCGTTTATCAGAGCAGAAAATTAATGTTAATTTAGGGTAAAAAGAGCTGCTAAAATCTTCCTAACCCTTAAATAAAGCAACCAAGTGTGATATAAATTTTATCCGAGAGTATGACTAAATAAGTTGCTGTAATATTTATTACTGCTATATTAAAACACTCGAAAAAATATCACGACAGTTTTTGTCCTACTTGCACTTCTTTGCCCCAATAAAAGCTCGCAACTCCTCGCCCATAAACTTTCCGCAGATAAGGAAGGCAAATTTGGAATCAGCGTTTTATGCTCTTCAATATGGTGTGCATTCTATTCAATCATTTCGACTAAACATGGTTCCCTTGTTAGTTTCGAGCCCCGCTACTGTAAAGCATCCAAATCTCATCACCCTAAGTCTGAGTAGGGTGTCTTTAAGGAGCATCCACAAAACCGTCACTCTTCCACTGTAAGCGACAGCAGCGATGTTGGCTCCCATCTGGGATGGTATTTATCAATTGTCCGATCACGATACCGTTGTAAATAGCGCTGGGTCAAAATCGTCTTCAAAATGCGTTTTCTTTCTTTTGAACAATTCCTTGGTGTCGACTGACCTGACAAATTCAACCTCAGGAGGAGCAGAAATCGCTGCGGTCGCTTACAGTGGACAGCGACTCGTTCACTACGGTGAAGCAGCGCATGGTAAGGTAGGCGCCAGACTAGTTGAGCGCCTGCTACAGCAGTATGCGGCGCAAGTAGTAAACTGATGTCGTTTGGCGTCACGTTGGACAAAAGTCGTAGTGACGTCTGCGATGTTCGCAGCAACAATAGTTTTGGAGAGATGGTAAGAAAACATCGCAGTATGAGAGAATGATAAAGAGGCTTTACCGCCAGAAAAATGTTTGCTGGTAGCAAATCGTATGCACAGACCTGATTTTCATCCAGCGTGACTCCTGATAACAGTTGACTACGCCGCATTCCGCTAGGACGATCGGTTAGTCTGGCGCCTACCTAAGAGCAAGGGATGTTGATAAACAGCGTCCTTGGTAATAAGGAACAGTTTGCCTCATTCCTTGTAGTAGGCTGTATGGTGAGGGCCTGAACCACAGTTTATGCTACATATGTCAAAAAAAACTTCCTTTGCAGAGCTTGAAGGAATCTGAGATAATAAAATCGCCTCAATTGGCAGATTAGATTACCTACCGCACTGGTTGGTCTAATTGCAGGTATCGCGAAGTTCCTCGGTGAGACCCAAAACTCCTGCTAGCGCGAAGGTATTCTTTGAATAATTCCATGCAAAGCAAAGTTCATAGTCTTTCACAGAGCCTCGATCAAACTCAAAAGGACGAGCGACGAGTTCCAACGGGCAAGTTTTGTAATTTTTTGCTCAAAAACAAAATCTTCGTCCACACTCTGTAAAGGCTACTGCATGACGAAGGCGCAGGAGCAGAATTAGTTGATCGGGCGCGAACGCGGCGCGCTCGTATCTTCACCGTTGAAAATCCTACGTCTTATGCGCTCTGCGGCTAATAGAAACGCGTTTGCGTCCAAATATATTGCGCCTTCGTCATGCAGCACCCTATACATATTCGGGCATAGTGGCAGTGTCCGACAAGATCCGGATACGCAATCCTTTACATATCGCTTTACCTTTGAGCCAATCCCTGCATAGGTGTTCGAAGTTGTTGTTTGTTCTCCATTTGCTGAAATGATCTGAACTTTCTAGGATTTACTGCTTTTAAGAGATTTTGATCTCCAACGTTTCTGGAGCTTTTTTTCGAGTTGATAAAACCTAAACTCAAAACAACCCATGTAATACCGTATCTAAGTTTTGCATCTTTGATAACTTTCTTCATAGCGCATCCATCCTCTGGCGGCATGTAGATCAGTGTATGTGCTAATGCAGCCGTTTTCTGCCACATTCTGCCACCGAATGTGAGGTTTGCCAGACTATTTAGAGGGCAATCATTAGATTGATGCCAAAGTAATGGCATTTTTTAACCCATTTTCAAAACAACTTTTATCCATTAAAATCTCTTCTTTGAAACAGATGCGGTACAACTTTACAAAGCATTTCTCATGCTCTATCATGGCGGTTGAAGCGGGCTTCAACCTCATCCTTCAAAAAGTTACAGAGCTTCAGATAACCGCATCCAAAATTGAATTTATTGCATTCACATTTGTGGCCAGAATTCAAAACCGAATGGACGGGGCTTCTTCAGAATTTGCTACTGCAAATATTAGTTGGCACATAAGTTTTGCAACTTTTCCCATAACTTTTTTCTTACACAATGTAATGCTCATTCTCTGGTATCTTGTAGAGTGTGATATAAGCTGCAAGTATGCGCAAACCGTTTGATTTATGATAACTTAGTAGAAGAAAATTAAGCATTCTGAAAAAACCTTGATGATCCAGTCACCGTTTCTTTTTAGCAAACATTAAGCCGTACAAAACCTGAATCAAAATATCAAACGGGAATCATAGGCAGCATGCAGCTAGAAGATGACGCATTAGTATCGGTAGAAAAGAGATGTAATTCAAAGACAAATTAAAGGGGCCTTTGAGGAGTAGAACAATCCAAATGCGTCAAGTTTTGCGGGCAATCTGTCGATAACTAAGCTGCGAAAACTCAGAATCCGCTAACCTTTGCACAATAGGGTAATTCAATGAGTGGAACACGAGTAGCAGTATATTCATTTGTCGCAGCATGTCGAATCCCATAGACCAAGTTTCAGCAAAATCTGATGCAATCTAAAAATTTCCCCACTATTCCGTAAACCTACCGTCACTTTTACATAAGACGACAAAATTCGGCAAACATGTCTCCATTTGCAGTTCACATCATAATCCTTGCATTGCCAGAAAATGAATGCCCTACGTTCAAAGAGACAAAAGTTATATAAAAAGTTGCATCACTTATGTGTCAACCTAATAAAAGAAATCGCCTACATTATCCACCATAACTATTTTTTTAGAATTATCTAGGCTGATCGGCGCCTCAACATGGGTAGCCATTACGGTCAATCTATGACCCATAAAACTGTATTAAGGAAGACAATCGATAAAGCTTTGGTCATCTCTATAAGCGTGATTGTAGGCCTCTTGTTGATAGTTTTTGCAAAGTTTGTTCATCCGTTTAGTATGCAGAAAATTAAAAAAATTCATAATGGGACTTTGAGGCCTACGAAAAAATGTTGAATAAAGGTAACAAATTTTTTTTTCAAATTTATTCTTTTTGCAAAGTCTGTTCGTCCAGGTCCTTTCCATCCTTGTTTGTATTATTGGCTTGCTGGTGTAAAATAGTATACTTATTATTTATAACGAACTTTGAAGGGAGTTATAATTTGTTGAAAAAAGAGCTTTCAAAAAGGAAGTTTTTTTTGTTAATCGATTTTTCTGCCCGTTTGTAGTATTTATCGCACTGGAAAATATAGAATCCTTAGAAAGTTATAGCACGTCAGAGTGAGGACTCGCAGAACGGCCGTTATTTTTGCATCACCCTCATGCAAAAGAAGCATAAATAGTACTCGTCAACTGATAAAATTTTCTTCAGGAATTTTTTCCGACATGCCGATTACGGAAATTGTATTTACCTCACGTGGCGGCTCTTTTGGCAAAGTTATGTTGACAATAATTACTATGAGTGTTCAGCAGGCCAAACTATATCGCTATGCGAAGTCTCAACAAATTCTGACGGCTTTTCTTCAGCATTGAGGGCGAAAATGGCAGATCTGCCTCAGGTCTGGCCGACAAAAGCTGAATAGTACATAAACAAGAAGATGCGCAGGTTTGAAGATGAGCGGACCTACAATATAGTCGAATAAGAGTAGATACAAATCATTTCATATAATCATGTGTGTCATTGCACAAACTGATCACCTTTGGTGTTTACATCTTGGATTCTTGAAGAAACAACCCTTCATGTATGATGTGTGACGTTTGCTTCCCATTTCAGGACTAATCACTTCAGAATATTGTATAAAAATCAGTCGCCTCTTGCATTTTCGTGATTGCAAATCCAGAATGAGGACGCCAAAGATGGACGAAGTGCGTAATGCACACAAGATCACATGAATTATTCGACTGTATTCGAATGTTCGGATATAACCGAAACCCACAAATTTCGAATAACAATAATCGAATAAATTCGAAAAGGACAAATTTCGAATAAACGAATTCAAATATGTTCGAAAATTTGATTTCTCCAATAATCGCATTTCAAATAAATTTTACTCGAATCAATTCGGTAGAAAATATACTGAACAGTAGTTCGCACGGCTTTTGAAATATTTTTTCCCGGACGCTCCGCAAGAAAAATCGTTTGCTTTTTGCCCCAAAAAGCAAGTCCAGCCTGCCTCCAACCGATCTGTGCCGGGCCCTGACCAGTAGTCCACGGAGACGCCTACCACCTCTTTTCGCTCTACTTTTTCAACCTTACTCTTTATGTCATTCAGTATAATTATCTCTAGCGAGTAAGGAAAGACGGTCGAGATCTGATGCACGGGCCAGACAAGCATGCTCTGTACCACCACGCTCCAGACAGGTATGTTTGGTACCACTTCCTCTAAACATCCATGTACTCAGATCGTGTTGGCCGCAGACGTATATAAATATTAGGTTGTCGGGAAATCAATACCCGTTTTGAATTTCATCCGCAATAACTCATGCATTTCTCATTTCCAAATGGGTTGCAAAGTACCATTCGATAGAGCAAAGCAAGCTCTACAAGATGGCCATCTTGCTTTTGCAACAGCTCTCATCCACTCTTTGAGCCAAAAACTTAAAAGACTCAGCAGCCCGAGAAATAGAAAAAAATCGTAACTCAGTTCATAAAAAACCTACAAAAATACCAACTTGCTCACGTAAACATTATTCACATAAAACATCTATATACGCCTTTGCCGCGTTTTTTTCTCTGTTAGAAACCAAGAAAACGGAAATTTTCGTGCATCTGCCAAAGTGATGCTGTGCCGTCCCCATTTAGGTAGTTGATACCACAAGCCTGTAGAAGTACAGACGTAAATTTTCAGCTCTCTACAAGCTTTAGTTCTCGAGAAATACCGAATATAGCTTTCCCTAGTTAGGTGGTCCAAGCTAAAATTCAAATTTCTCGAGAACTAAAGCTGTAGAGGGCTGAGAATTTACGTCTGTACTTCTACAGGTTTGTGGTATACAACTACCTATATGGGGACGGCACAGCATCACTTTGGCAGATGCACGAAAATTTCCTTTTCTTGGTTTCTAACAGAGGGAAAAATACGGCAAAAGCGTATATAGATGTTTTATGTGGATAGTGTTCAAGTGAGCAAGTAAGAATTTTTGTATTTTTGTGAACGGAGTTACGATTTTTCTCAATTTTTCGGGCAGTTGAATCCTTTTAGTTTTTGGCTCGAAACTCGTGGTGGATCAAAGCTGTTGCTAAATCAAGATGGCCATCTTGTAGGGCTTGCTTTGCTCTATCGAATGGTACTTTGCAACCTATTTAGAAGTGAGAAGTGTATGACTTATGTCCCAATAAAATGTGCCTACTGTTTGGTTGTTAATAGATAACTCTCTTATAGTGAAATCTTTCGAGAAGCTTCAGGCGCCATTTTGTAGAGATGAAATTAACTTAGGTTTACAGTAGAGCAAGTCACCCTTCTTTCTCCATTACTAGGACTATAGGAACTTTAAAGAGAAATTTGAGTCGTGGAGAGTCATATTTTGGTTATATATTTTGGCTTTTATTTTGACTCAAAAAGGGACTAAAACGATCTGAAAATCCCAATACTAGGCTATTTAGAGTTTTGATTTTAGAGATAAAATCTCATTATAATCAGGCCTCGGCACGATGTGCTATTGGAAAATGCAAAAAAACGAAGTCGCCCTTGACTTTCGTGGTTTTTAACGAAGTCTTCCTTGACCATAACTCTAAACGTAATAACCCTCAAAAACAAATCAACAACTAAAAAAATGTCACAATTTTGCGTCTTTTCGGCCTCAAAAACGAAAAACCTTTGCTTTCCGTCCCAAAAGCAATATCCAGCTTGCTTGCAAGCCACCTGTGCCGAGCCTTGATTATAGTGCTTCTTTGGAAAGTTATGCCAGATAAGCAGTAGCAGCCGTTTTTTTCGATTTTGCCAAAAAATGTGGTTACAGCGCTTAGAAAGCTTCACAATCTTGTGCAAAGCTAAGTAGTGATTCGGCGTCCAAGAAAAACCTATTACACGAGTTTTCAAATTTTTCAAAAATCATTCGGAATAGCACTTTCTTCATAGTGATGCAGTATGCCGAAAGTCTCTACCGTAGTCTTACAATAATGGATAGCGACCGGTGATTCGTTCTATACTGTAAATCTAAGTTGAAGCCAGCTCCACAAAATGGCCTTAAGCTTTTCAAAAGACTACTTGACGAGAGGGTTATTAACAATTATCAAACAGAAGGCACAATTTTCTGGGACATTCTGTATAGCAGTAAACACCCTCAAATTTGAACTGGGGCAGGCCGTTTATGGTGAACCGCCGCATCATCAACCTTTCGTTTATGCTGTACATGTTCTCCAAACTTTTTTCGTCGCTGAATGCTACTTTTGCTCGTTACCTCGTTACGTTTTTAAGGTAAGACATGTCGCTTCAGTAATTTATCTTACCGTTTCCCTGCATGCATATTTCTTCAAGCTCTGGAGAGCAGGACAGCACGAAGCGTTGCTCAACAACAGAATTGTCAAGCCCTAATCATTTAACGAATATTGTCAAAGCGCAAACTTCGAAAAAAAAAATCTGAAAAAAATGCGTAAGTTTGAACCGAAAGCTCAAGGTGTCGCGCTTCTTGTTCATCAAAAAAAGTTTTACAAGGAAATTAGTGCATGTAGAAACTCCATAAGAGGATGCACTCTATAACCCATAAAGCCCGTATGCATGAAAATCCTTGCGGCGAGGAGAAGTGCGACCTCGTCATAGAATGGCCGCGGGTAAACGTGTTGCGGCTTCTTGATCATTACGGTGATGTTCCCCTCGCCGAGGGATTCGCATACATATGGTCCTAAAAGTTTCATCCTTTACACGTCACCACTGCCTCAGCATTCATGAGGTGAGCTTTTCGCAACCAATCATGAACCATAGATACAAGACGGAAGACCTTTTTTGTACTCCACAAAAACTCGCCGCTAACGTTTCTGGCGGCAGAAGAGGGGGAGGGGAAGTGGAAGTCGGGACCGCTTACATGACTAAAATGCGGAGAAATTTTACATCTTTGCGTTTTGCACGTACTTCGCTTTCTGTGTGACCCCCCCCCCTCCCGGAGATGCCGGAATGACAACTCGTGTTAGGGGCGATATGTCTCCGATAGGCTCCGACTGCCGCATACTGGGCACGAACATGGCCCTACCTACGGTCTGTTGAAAAGGGATTAGGATAAAACGTTGGCCCGAAATCGTAGATTGAAGAGACAGAACAAAAAGAGGAAAAAATAGACAGGTCTTAATAGGTGCACCTGATAATCAACGGTGGGACGCGCACTGTGCCAATGGATTCGATTGGAGCTGAATGCTCCATCGACGACACAAAATCCTTTACCCGCTTACGCCATGACGTGCTCACGCTTTGATTTGGCATCAATTCAGGAAGATCAAAAGATGGGTTTCTGCAGTCCTAGATGTGTGTTCAGAGCGGTACAAAAAATGTCCTAGATGTGAAATTACAGCGGTACAGAATGAAAGCACTACACTCTACACTTGGTCATAGTAGTCTTTAGGTTTCGCGAAGCCCGGAAACAAGATCACCGGCACAGGTGAGCATTTGGCATCGCTTCAGAATTTCTAATGATGTTGTTTCACAGTCTGGACCAGCAGACGACATCAATAGCGTGAGCAGTTTTGGAGGTAACTCTGATGAACTCTTACTTTGTATCATTTTGTACAAGAACGAGCAATGAAAAAGAGAGCGGAAGTGAAACGGATGTGCGAGTAGGAGTAAATTATTTTGCACATAAAGTTGCAGTTGTTCACATCCTCTCCAACAAAGGTCAAACTGAATGATAACAAAAATTATGTACTTACGAGACACCTTTCGGACATGCAACGTCACCTTCTTCATAATGTTCGCTGTAATGTCTTGCCTTAGGCCTGTATGCATGTATAGCAGACGTCATCCGTCTAGTCACCTCGGTGCGATTTGTGTTACTGCACACAGTTTCAAAATCCCGGATGAGCCGGTATAGTTTTTGTATGATTGGTGCCGTATCCTGCACAGTCGTTTTTATATCAGTAATTGATTACCTAAGTTTAATTATCTGAGTTTGAGTTTGAGGTACTGGTGTCGACATACAAGTCCACGTGACAAGCCTTCGTGTGATTAGTGGTGAATGGAAGTTTTATCGTCTGAAATTATTACATGAAGCTTCTTATACCCAGATACTTGGGCATAATGGATGGCAGAAGAGTTATACAAGCTGAGATTTCCACTGTTTCGTATAATCCCCTTGCAGTGGATCGTCGAAGTTTTGATATCTTAAGATTTCACTTCACTATAAACATGTTCAGTGCCATAATGTATCCTCGGTAATTTTTCAACAGTTTGATCGAGTTTATAGAAAGACGAACAACTTTGAAAATGTGAGGTGATCCCCTGGGATCCCCTAGGGGATCACATGAAAGAGGGATAAATCCATTGTATAGCAATGTTCTGTCATACATTATCCTCAGAAATTAGATTATGTGAGCCTTCATAAGATAGATAAAAAAAAGAATGATAAAGATACTTAGAGTAGCAAGATATAACGTACCCTCTCAGTCTCCTCCCCTCCCCGCGCGAATCTACGTGCATACGGGCCTTAGTGGCACATTCAGAACTAGCTGGCATACCGCTGGTACCATACGCACTGGTATAAACCACCAGTGCGTCACCTCTGCTTCGCAGAGGCTCGCACTGGTTAGTGTCTATGTATATGCCTTACTCGTTCCTGCATAATGACGGCATTGAGACTCACCGCGCAGTGCTGGCTACCACGAAAAAATTGTAAGCATCTACTCATTCCAGAAGCTTCTTTGTGAGATCGGTGATTTAACGTAAGTAAAACTTTTCGCAGGAACACGCAAATTTATATCAGTCCTTGGATCTTTCATGGTTTGGTAGTCGCTATAGAAACAACAGTCACCGAGCTACATCACTGTGCAAACATCTTCCCTAATTCCCGGGTAAAACATGGACAAGTACTAATTATGTCAAATGCTTTTTGGCGTCGCTTTTGTGGTGTTAGATAACACATTACTTTTTTGGGCTAAGGTCCACGGCTTGCGCATCCACTTGTCATATCATGACTTTGCAAAATGTGGGATTGCGGACCCAATTTTGAGGTTCAGAAACCAAGTCCGTTTGATGCGCAGTCTTTGGGAGATTTACTTGACGTATCCGCTCGAGATTTTGCATAATGGACTTTCATGTTAGCAGCATGCACATGCAAATTTCGTAACACATACTGCGGTAAAATTTGCGCGTACAAATAGCTACGCCTATGACGCCGGACAAATGCTCGCACAGAATGCCGTCATAACTAACGTGGCTAATTGTTTATGGCAAATTTTACCTCTCACCTACATTGCAAGCACACTATATTAAGCAGAAAATCTACTCGACTCACACCGCTTTAACTATCTCCGTTATCGTGGTAAATGTTTCCCTCCCTCTCTGAAGACAGCTAATGATATCAAGGACGCAGCGTTCCTGAAATACAAAAGGGTGGCTAGCAAGAATTCACAAAAAGACGGATGCGCAGAGGAAAGCAAATCCTTTAGGTAAGGCAAGGATGGAAATCGAACCTTGCTTCGAGTTCTATTTGACTTCATCACAAGAAGAACGTGCAAGGTGTAACGGAAATGAGCAAAATTTACAATGAACCGTTGCAAAAAGTCAAGAACGACTATTCCCGCCGCCAACGCATGCGGTCGGCTGCAGCTCATGTAGCACGTTCCGGCGCCATTCGAGCGCTGTGTTGAAGCTGTTCCGGAACCTTTGGATCAATATGAAGCGAGCCTAAATGACCATATGCTAGCGCTGTGCCCTAAAAAACCTCCAGCGATGAGACGCGACGCTCCACCTGAGTTATTCGGTCAACGTCGGCTCGAAGGCCGCACTTGAGAAAATGATAGCTGAAAGACCCTTCACTTCCATAACAGCTCATAGAGGCGAGGGCTTATGTCAAAGAGTACGGAAAAGAAAAGTTTGGGAGTTTGGCGGAGGGGATAGGGGCTGATATATGACTCCATGCTATGATTTAACACGTTGACGACAGCGCCGCGCAATGGTGCGTGGCAGGTAGACTGTCCCTATGGACGGCGCCGCGCGATGGTGCGCGACACCCTGAATCTCAATTGTAAAAAGGGTTGAGCGTGGGGTCAGGGCGCCCGACCTGGGGGGGGGGGGGTCCTAATGGGGGTAAAATCAACGGGGGGGGGGGGGAGGTCTTAATCAAGAAACGGATTTGTTCAAACAGTGAGAAATACTACGATTGAGTTAGGTGAAGAAGAGAAGCGCTCAAACGTGAATCTCACAACTCCATCAGAGGAATGATTGTCGTGAACAGCATTTTGATCTACTCGAATACAGAAGTCTCAGCCAAACAATTCCTCTAGTTATTGAAGAAGCTTTTTATGTAAATTGGGTATGATTTCCGTAAACAGCATACCAGTGGTTTGTAAAGCTCATTGGTAATAAAATGGCCTCTACAAACCATTCCTATTACATTTTGTGGGTGTTTCCTAACGTCTAAAAAGCATGATTTTCAAAACATGATTAATTTGGTCACAAAAATGAAAGAAGCCAGCTTTTTTGTATTCATAACGAATATTAATGTATATAACGAAGTGAAGATATAAAATATAATATAAGTGAATATAACGAATATTCACTTCCCCATCCTTCCCGCAAACGGTCGGCTAGCTCTTAGCTCTGACCTATACCATCCACCAAAGATAGGATCAAGAAGACAAGGTGGAAGAAACCGTGGCTGGTCCACTGCGTCTACTTGGTCGAGAAGTCATAGACCAAGATCGCAACGTCACGAAAATGCGCTGGTTGGCACGAGTAAGTATGAATATGTCATCGAAGACGATCGAAGTCGAAGTCGCCCAACTCAAACCATGAACGGAATCGTCGTGGTATTAATTGTATATAACGGCTGAGGATAAATAAATGTATGAAAAAAACGAATATTACTCTTTGTCAGTCTATGGTAGAAATTGCACTTCATATCGCTTTCAAAAAAATGGATTAAGAAGTGCCGCAAAAATGCTAGTTACCGCGTTTTCTACCTCGAGTATTTCAACTCCACCAATCACTACAAAGCTAAAACAAGTCGAGATAAGCTCAAATACCTAATAAAAAATATTCGAAGTTTATGCTAGCGAGCCATATAAAACAAAGGTGGAAAAGCTTCTTCCGTGATACAGTTAATCGGGTCAGGCGCAACCCTCAAAAGCTTTAGAGGGAGTGCGCCCGACTCCCCTTAACTTGCCTTCAAACCAGAAATCGCTCCTTTCCTGGTATGAGTATTGAGCTCATAGCTTCTTTTTGCATTGGAAATTTAGAGCCAAACTCCCTACCCCTAGAAAGATTATGGTCCTTTCAGTAGGCCCATTCAGATCAAAATCAGCGCAAAATTACATGCGATTGTCAAGTGCAGTAACAGAAAATCGGGCGCACAGTTCAAAAATCTAAAAGCTCTCTAAAAAAGGATGGCGCCTTCCAGAATGCCGCACTTTGAGGTTTCGAAGTCAAAAGGAGGAAGGATGGGTCGTTTGAGGGCTTTCATGGGGGGGGGGGTCGTTTTCGAAAGATTTGTGCCTGACCTTTTGCTCTCTGATTGTAACATGCTCAATTGTTTTCATTTCTTTTCCAGACATCAATTTGGACACCATATTTACCGTTAAACAACTATTTATCAAATTTCAAAGCTCCCATTCAACATACATCGCTTGTTCTCGACAATCAACAATGATAGTCCAGAATAATCTATAGCAAAAATTTTTACAAGCACTGCATTTTGTTTTCGTACTCGTGGCTAGATGCTTAGCAGTCCTTTCAGAAGTTGCGGAAATCGATTTGTAGCATTCGGAACAAAATCGTCGGTCCCTCAGCTTTTGCATTTGGATCAGACACCATCTTTTGCTTGCGTGATCTTGAACTAGTGATCAAATGTTGTTTGGATTCTTGTACAGCAGTTCGTCGACAATCAATTCATTGCAGTAGTTGATCCTGATTTTCTTGACTTTTTCGCATTACAAAAACCAACCGTTGACCAAAGCAGTCTGCGTTAGCAAATGAAAGAATAAGCGGATATACCACTTAGCTGCCTTTTCCTCACCAACAGAGTATATGAAGCCATTTGGTCACTGATTTTAAAAATCCCTTTATCATATTGTAATCAACAACAAACAGCTTACCGTTTGGATGACACTCAGCGTCGTGTTTATTGACTACATATGAATGTCCTTCTTGTCTTTCCATTTCATAACCAGCACCCCTTTTAAATTCCGTTTCTGTATGTATTTTCCTTTCCGCAGTTTTTGTTTTGTTAGGATCTGACGGACGCCCTTACGATTTTTTTAGTTTTCTTACCATGTCCGCCTTCTTCTTGAGAAGCAAGTTTTAGGCTGGTGTATTATTTATCGGTACAAAGGCAACGTCGTTGGACTATAAAACCGTCCATCAGTTCCAAGACTACAGACTGTACCACACCCAGAACAGATTTTGCAGTCGTTGCACCACTTGCCACAGTACCCCCTGGCGCGCCCAACAGCGTGTTCGTGGCGGGCACAGCGTGAACGTGCCTGTTAACCTATTAACACGGTAAACTTGTCTATTTGGGGACTAATTAATCGAGTGA